GCTTTGAAATTGCTCGGGCCTGTGCGAAACCCGCCACCTCAAAAACCTGCAGTGTTTTGTGTCTGGACCTCTGGGCCATGTCCAGTGGGGTGAAAGGACACTTGAAAATCACCCCATTATTTTTCGAGGGGCCGCTAGGACCCAACAAACGTCCTGGGCCGCCCCTTTTTTTTTTTTTTTTTTTCTGCCCCAGGGGCCTCCATCCAGACATGGGGACCGGACACCGGACACCAGACTGTCTGGAACCCGGTCCGGATGTCCGGGCGGTTACCATGTTACAAACTCTTATTAATTATTTTGCACGAATTTTAAGAGATTTTCACAACAGTTACTCTGGTTGGTTTCAAGGAGTCCGAAATGGACAGCAATTTGAAATTTATGTGTGTGATATGTGGATGCCTTTACATGCAGAAAGATGGGCCCGGAGCTCCTGGTGGGCAGTCCTGGACTCCTGAGTGGCTTGTGTTCGATAACAGCTACTTCAAGGTAATGGAGGGGTGTTGAGTTTCTCCTCGTCTACCTCTTCTCTGCCCGCTTGTTCTTTTTTTTTTTTTTTTTTTTTTGGGTGCAACTTGTGTTATGCTGCATCAGGTCTTGCATTTTGGTCACATACGTTCAGTTTCAGTCTTTCCTCCGGGCGACATCGCTGTTTCCGGACAAGTCGATGCTTTCTAAGCATAAACATAGCAGTAGTTGGGCAATAGGCACTTGCTCCACATTCTCCCTAGCACTGTAGCTGTGCGCCTTGCACTTGAGCTGTGTGTCATGCAGCCTTGCTCCCACCAGTTGACACGAGAGAGCCTAGGCTGCACCAAGTCTTGCATTGTGGTTACATACGTTGACTTTCAGTCTTCCTCTGGCTGACATCGCTATCAACAGACAAGTTGATGATTTGAGCATAGCAGTAGTTGGGCACCTTCCGGCATTCTGCCTTGCATTGGAGCTGTGCGCTTTGCACTTGAGCTGTGCGTCGTGCCGCCTTGCTCCCACCAGGAAACGAGAGAGGATGCCATTTCCCGGTTAGACTGATCGACGTGACGAGAGGAGGAGAGTTCAATGCTAGAGGAGAAGTGAAGTATGAGACTGGGCTCACTGGAGGACATTGAAACTCTGTTGTTGTTGTTGTTGTCGTCGCCATTGTTGTTGTTGTCGTCGTCGTCGTCGTCGTCGTCGTCGTCGTCGTCGTCGTCGTTGTTGTTGTTGTTGTTGTTGTTGTTGTTGTTGTTGTTGTTGTTGTTGTGTGACAACATCATGTCCGATATTGTGTGTGACAATGCATCCCATGTTCTGTGTGACACTGTGACGGTGATTGTGACGCAAAGTGTGAGCAAATGTCACACAACTTGCGGAACACAGTTTTTGGTGGAGTGTCTGTAAATGTTTATTTTTCGGCGATTTCGCACTGCGGTAACTAAACCTTTGTCTGCATGCACATTCTGATTCAGGAAGTAAAGGCAAAGAGGGATGAGGATCTGCTTGTTTTGCCGACCGATGCAGCTCTATTCGAGGATGAAGGATTCAAGGTAAGGTGGAGCTTGCCTGATCTCTGAAACGCAAGACCCTGCAGTTGTACCCTCAATTAAAACCATCCCCTACCTTTCCCTGGCAAAGTCGAGAATCGAAAATGTATAACATTGTAATTTGTATATCCAAAGACTTCGGATGCACAGTGCTACCGAACCTAAATGCCACAGTGTTACCGGGTTCATTTTTTTCTTGGCCCGCGGGGGGAATGCGCCTCCGACTTGACAAAAAACAGCTCGGAGGTACTGGTGTTTTTTTTTTTTTTTTTCCCCTTCTTCAACCCTACAACCTGACCCAGCTGGCCATTTTTTCTATCCTTAAACAACTTCGGGGTTGTCGATTGAAAACACACTTGGACAAAGGAATGATAGCGATCGTTATCAAATCTTTTGAAATTGAGACAAAAACATGAGCTCTTAGTTGCAGTGCTGGATGCAGTTTGCAACTCTGTTTTTTTTTTTTTTTT